CTATGTGGGAAAAACAGGGTTTTCGACAAAGGTTGTCCAAATCAAACAAAACTTCGTTTTTGGGTTCTGATTGACACAAAGACATGTTAAAAAAATTTTGAAATTTTTTCGACAAAATTTGTCGAAATAGGAATTTTTTTTTATTTTACACAAAAGACGCGGCAATTGATTTTGAAAAAATTTTTTTTAAAAAAAAGGTCAACTAAGGAGGAACATTTTGAGTTGTGTCCCATGTCCTGGTCTTGCTTAGTTAAATTGATACCCACCATTTTACGTTACGTGATTTTCTCATTTTTACCTTAAAAATAAAAAAATGCCCCTTTGCCGGTCAATTTGATTATAACTAGAGTCAAACTGAAGATATTTTATCTTTGTGAACCTCCTTCCATGCCTAACACACTATCTGGTTCCCCAAATAAACACAGTGTGTCCCAAAATACCATAACGGGTCATTTAACATTACAGTTTGGAATAACGAGCACCATGTTTATTGCTGGAGCAGTAGCAGCCCAACTAGTATTTGTCACTGAAACAAGATTATTATTTTTATCCAGTAATTTTCCTTTGACTTAGAAGAACAAAATAGATGATTATTCATAATATGCTTCAATTGAGCAGATCGATGTTGTTTCCCCACAAATTGTATCGTAAAGAGTGATAACAAGAATTTTGTTCTTCAACGACAAAATGTCGCTTACTAGACTCAAAGACATTTGTTTCGCTTTGGTTCATGATGAAATTCTATGTTTTGGAACGACTAAATTTTCACTCTTCTGATTGTTTCTGTACAACCATTTTTTAACAGTGTAGTTGGGCTGCTCTACTGCTACACGGTGCTCGTTATTCCCAAATGTAATGTTAAATGACCCGTTATGGTATTTTGGGACACACTGTGTTTATTTGGGGAACCAGATAGTGTGTTAGGCATGGAAGGAGGTTCACAAAGATAAAATATCTTCAGTTTGACTCTAGTTATAATCAAATTGACCGGCAAAGGGGCATTTTTTTATTTTTAAGGTAAAAATGAGAAAATCACGTAACGTAAAATGGTGGGTATCAATTAAACTAAGCAAGACCAGGACATGGGACACAACTCAAAATGTTCCTCCTTAGTTGACCTTTGAAAAAAAAATTTTTTTTTCAAAATCAATTGCCGCGTCTTTTGAGTAAAATAAAAAAATTTTCCTAATTCGACAAATTTTGTCGAAAAAATTTCAAATTTTTTTTGACATGTCTTTGGGTCAAGGAGAACCCAAAAACGAAGTTTGGTTTGATTTGGACAACCTTTGTCGAAAACCCTGTTTTTCCCACATAGACAGCGTCTTTGGGCCTAGTTCTGGCTGTGCGTTGCAAATGAAGCAGCGTCGCCATGCTCGTGCCTGCTTCATGGATGTGACGGCATACGCCTCCCGTGGCACTACCGTGGCAGCTTCTGGGTCTTCAGGGTTCAGCTGGAACAACAAAAAGGTGAGTTTCTCAGTTAAGTATTCAAGTCCATGGGCGCCCTTCTCTCATGCTGCAACATCTCAGCTAGATCGGCCGAGCCGTTCAGGAGGAGTAGTGCACACACACAGACGCAGACGGAGAAAGTTTTTAACCCCACTGGAGTAACGGGCTTCGCTATCGCTCAGCCAACTATTCACGATAGAAAAAAATCATTAGCACCTAAATTCGCTCAAGCACACACTTAAAGCACTTTCATCATCATAACATTTTCAATACTTTTGACTACATCCAACTTATGACACTTAATTCACTTAGCACAGTAAAACAATTTCATCACATTTTTATATATTTGACTCTAAGATAAACAAGAAGGAAAGACATCAAAGAATTGATATCACATGGGAGGGACTCGTTCTTTACAAAGCTAGATTGATGTGTCAGTCGCTGATCGTTACATGAATTTGTAATTTTGCCTTTTAACGAACGCTTCCGGTTGGTTCTCCTCTCAGGCAGGGAACATGGCTGCATCGCGATATCTCGAGACATCGATTCTCGTGCATAATTGAATTTACACTAGAGTCCGTGAGTCCGTGCCAAAAACCTGCTTTTTCCATGACCAAAACCCTCAGAAGGACACATTTATTTTAGAAAACAGTCAAATGAAACTTATTATTTCATCTCTCATCTCGAACATAAGACGTGCAACACCATCAAAAAGAAATTCATTAAGATGACACAGCTTGCAGTTCTGAGACATGTATCATGGTTAGGGTCAAACAATGTTTCGTTATTACCAAATTTCTCAAAATTATCCATTGTCACTTGCAAAAAACCCTCCTAGATTTTTGTTGACCAAAGATCTCGTGTCATTGTTGTTGTACTTTGCGTTTCAGTGGCGTTCAACATCAAAAGATACAGACACGTGAAAAGAGGTTAGTTTCACATAGTGCACTAAAAACGTCTCTCTTTCATGTTCATTTTCTCAATATTTCTCATTGCAAGTGAAAAAAAAGTTCATTTACGATCAAGCGACTGACACTCCATCTTTCATTTGATACCACTCTCATTTTCCCACATGCTGTGAGATCTGAGATGAAAGTTGTCCCCCCAAAACTCATTTTTGAACACAATACTCGTTCTCTTCACATAGAGTTTTGTATGTTAGTGAGTGGTGTGTAAAGAACGAGTAAAAAGGAAGGGCATACAGCAGGAATACAAAATGAAGAAAAATTAAATATCTGATCTTGCTTTGGCATTAAGGACGTAGGAGCGGGTGGCTACTCTGAGAATGGTAGCATCCGAGAGCGTTTTCTGGTGCATCCGCAGTCGTCTGAGGGCGGGCCCCCGATGCCCCGTAGACCTGGTTCGCAGACAATGCACCCTCGGCTGGCTGTTAATACACGACTAGGGACCTCTGGACGGGAAGCGAGTCCAATTTTAGAGAAGCAAGCTTCGGCGAGCGACCGTCATTAAACCAACAAAAGGCGCGCGCCACGCCATGCCACGCCATGCCTCTGTCCACCCGCAACTTCGCGGACTCCGACCTGTTTGACAGTCTCTGTCAGTTGTACTGCGTGGTGGGCCAAAGGATGCCGGAAGAGTCAGTTCGAGGTCACCTGGCAACCGACCTGTTCGTTGAGGGGCGCTGCAATTGCTGCATGCTAAGGAACTCTGCAGCGGCCAGCTCTTATCCGTAACTGCGGTCGTCGATGACCTCCGAGACGCTTGGAGTCGTCCCGCAAAAGTCCATGCGGAATTTATCGTTCTCACTCATGTGTATTTCAGGTGACTGTAACGTGAAACACTGTGTTGTTCCGGTTAATGAGGATCAGTCACATACCTTGCTTTGGCTAGACGAATGTGCTCGCAATGAGGCATCACAGCGTTTCTGTGCATCCAGTCGTCCAGAGGTCCCCCTGAGCCGTGAACCTGGTTCCAGAAATGCCCGGCTACGTAATGCCGGTAGAAGTGCGGTGAAGACATCCGGCGCGGGGCTCGGCCTGGGCCGCACGGAGCAGATCGCCAGCTTTTCGTGAGCTCGGGCCCGGTCTTCAACTTCTCAGTCCAAGTTTCAGGTCAAAATCAAAAGTTTTGACCAAATTTGACAAAATATTTTTGGCGAAGTACTGATTATTTCTATATAGCTAAAAAAGTTGTTTTCGTTGCTCTGTTAAAAGTGGCCGCAGAAACTTAATTTTTAGATGGAAAGATCAAAAATTTCATCCCGAGTACAATGGTGAACATCCCATAAGTGTCAGACGACGCGTTAGAAAAATTTTAGCTTTCAGGTAGCGAAGCGACCGCCTCCCTTTTGTGTGGAGAGGCCTGCTTCACAATGGGATGCGCCGAGGCCGAGGCGACGATGATGACAGGCTGATTTATTACCCCCAGGCTCAAAATACAAATTTTCAAACGAGCCTTTTCGCGATTTTAGAACATGCGGCAATGGATTCTTCGTTGAAAGCTGGGTTTAATGGTGTTTGAATTTTTGTTCTACGATAATTTCTACCAAAATCGCGACGAAAATCGGCCAAAACAGGTCGGGGCCTGGTGCCGCCTGCCTATTGCAGACGGATCCTCGACGGCTCCCCTATTGCCCGCCCGGCGCGTCACCCCGGACCCCGACTACCTGCCCCGAGCTCCGCTGTGCGACAGAAACAACACAGCGGCCGAAGCAGCCTGTCTCTCTACTGGTGCAGGACCTTCAAATCTACCACACGACGCGAGTACCGCACCTCCTAGAGAAATAGAAAAAACTTGCCCGTGCTGACAAAGGCATGGCCTAGGGGATGTGATGGTCCATTTTTTCGCCATTTCATTAGATTCCGCCCGTTAGCTTCCTGAAAATCACTCATTTTCAAGGCGTTCCAGTTACGTTACTAGAAGTTTGAGCGCAAAGTGGAATAGACCATCCCCTGCATATAGTCCCTGCCAAAAAGTGTGCAAAGTTTCAAGACGATGCGACCCTTGATTTCGCCGTCGTGTGGTCTGAAAAATGTCAAAAACAGCCAAAATTTCGAACTTTGGGGCGTCGCGACGCCGAAACTATGCGTTGTCGGGCAAAACGGTTTGACATGGTGCCTTACCACATCGATCACTATCAATTAGTGAAAAAAAAAATTTGCGCTCCTACGGCCTTAAAAAAACGCTATGTGCGCGACATTCAACCGTTTCCAAGCAACCGATTCGAAGACGAACCACTGTCGATTCGAAAATTTCGAATATTCGGGGTCGAAGCAAAGAGATCCGTCCCCGAATAGAATCGAATCACCCCCGATTCGATTCGAAACCGAACTATTCGCACACCCCCAGACTAGACCGCACCAACTGGTGAGGTCAAACGGATGACATTTTGACTAGGGCTGGGCGGTTACTGGATTTTAAAACCGGTAACCGGTTACCCAGGCTCAAAAAACCATGAGCTGGGCCATGGGGATGGCTGACCATGGTGATCCGAGATGGTCAACCATCAACATTGGGAAAACACGAGAAAACATAAAATGCAGGAATAACTTCGTCCGCGCCATGATGATGTCAAAGTTTTGGCCCTTTTGTTAGGTTGAATTAGGAGTATCGGACATGCTACTAGGTCTAATGCACCCTGAAATTCTGACCTCGTTGACACCTTCGTTGGCACCGGCATCGCCCTCGTTGGCACCGGCATCGCCCTCGTTGGCACCGGCATCGCCCTCGTTGGCACCGGCATCGCCCTCGTTGGCATCGGCATCGCCCTCGTTGGCATCGGCATCGCCCTCGTTGGCACCGGCATCGCCCTCGTTGGCACCGGCATCGCCCTCGTTGGCACCGGCATCGCCCTCGTTGGCACCGGCATCGCCCCTCGTTGGCATCGGCATCGCCCTCGTTGGCACGGCATCGCCCTCGTTGGCACCGGCATCGCCCTCGTTGGCACCGGCATCGCCCTCGTTGGCACCGGCATCGCCCTCGTTGGCACCGGCATCGCCCTCGTTGGCATCGGCATCGCCCTCGTTGGCATCGGCATCGCCCTCGTTGGCACCGGCATCGCCCTCGTTGGCACCGGCATCGCCCTCCTCGTTGGCATCGGCATCGCCCTCGTTGGCACCGGCATCGCCCTCCTCGTTGGCATCGGCATCGCCCTCGTTGGCACCGGCATCGCCCTCGTTGGCATCGGCATCGCCCTCGTTGGCATCGGCATCGCCCTCGTTGGCATCGGCATCGCCCTCGTTGGCACCGGCATCGCCCTCGTTGGAACCGGCATCGTTGGCATGGCATGCCTCGCTGAAACAGAGAAGCAACGAAGCAGGTCGCAGACTCGTAGCACGGAATCGCCTTCGGCTAGGGCGATTCACTCGTTGACCGGCATCGGCCTCGTTGAACCCCAAATCGCCCTCGTGGCACCGGCATCGCCCTCGTGGCACGGCATCGCCCTCGTTGGCACCGGCATCGCCCTCGTTGGCATCGGCATCGCCCTCGTTGGCACCGGCATCGCCCTCCTCGTTGGCATCGGCATCGCCCTCGTTGGCATCGGCATCGCCCTCGTTGGCACCGGCATCGCCCTCGTTGGAACCGGCATCGTTGGCAAGGATGTCCAATGCTGCTCGCTGAAACAGAGAAAGCAACGAAACAAGGTGAGAACACGTAGCCAGGAATCGGCCTTACGGCTAGGGGGTATTCACTATCAGAACCTGCGATCTGGCCGTTGAACCCCAAAATCATTGTAATCTGGCAAAAGACATCTCAAAACTAGGGGAACGCGCTGTTTAGAACAGGCGCGTAGTGTGGTTGAGTGATGCGAATTAGTTTGTCCACTTCGGGCTTTCACTGTAAGAAAAACAAGAAGGAAAGACATCAACGAATTGATATCACATGGGAGGGACTCGTTCTTTACAAAGCTAGATTGATGTGTCAGTCACTGATCGTTACATGAATTGTCCTCTGACGATTTGTAATTTTGCCTTTTAACGAACGCTTCCGGTTGGTTCTCCTCTCAGGCAGGGAACATCGATGCATCGCGATATCTCGAGATATCGATTCTCGCGCACAATCGAATTTACACTAGCGTCCGTGACTCCGTGCCAAAAACCTGCTTTTTCCATGACCAAAACCCTCAGAAGGACACATTTATTTTAGAAAACAGTCAAATGAAACTTATTATTTCATCTCTCATCTCGAACATAAGACGTGCAACACCATCAAAAAGAAATTCATTAAGATGACACAGCTTGCAGTTCTGAGACATGTATCATGGTTAGGGTCAAACAATGTTTCGTTATTACCAAATTTCTCAAAATTATCCATTGTCACTTGCAAAAAACCCTCCTAGATTTTTGTTGACCAAAGATCTCGTGTCATTGTTGTTGTACTTTGCGTTTCAGTGGCGTTCAACATCAAAAGATACAGACACGTGAAAAGAGGTTAGTTTCACATAGTGCACTAAAAACGTCTCTCTTTCATGTTCATTTTCTCAATATTTCTCATTGCAAGTGAAAAAAAAGTTCATTTACGATCAAGCGACTGACACTCCATCTTTCATTTGATACCACTGTCATTTTCCCACATGCTGTGAGATCTGAGATGAAAGATGTCCCCCCCAAAACTCATTTTTGAACACAATACTCGTTCTCTTCACATAGAGTCTTGTATGTTAGTGAGTGGTGTGTAAAGAACGAGTAAAAACATGACACGAGTCACTCACCACCATCATATGACCTTACCTACAATTAACCTACAATTCTGCAAATCAATTACATAACTCATAAAATAAACAGACATATAGTTTCACTGTTTTTGTCATCTGACCAGGATGATAACAGCAAATTTCATCGAACATTTTTGCTTAGACTAGAATAATTAAGATTACTATGTAAATGAATGCAGTGTTCCCATTCCAATCTCATGGGCTATGCGCTTCCAAAAGGCATGTCATTTTCTACGAAGTCGATCTTCTTCTGCATGGATGCATAATTAGCACACATGCAGACAAAGACACTACAATCGTAGCCATTAGATTGTAATGGCATGTCCTGTTTATAAAGCTATTCACTGTCAGACTGGAAACAAACGTAGAACTGAACTGTTCACATACCTCACTTGTTTCGGGAAGCCACACCATGTATCCAGTTTTCATTTCCAAATAACTGCGCACAGCTTCCATGGCTTCAGGGTATTCTTTTCCAAAGTTATCGCAGTAAGCGAGCGTGTGAAGTTGAAGATCAGCCATAATGAGGGTCCAGTGACCTCCTCTGTGCACAGGCTGAGGAAAGCACCTAGGAGTTCAGTCATTCATTTAATGCCTTCTGCCAAACGAGCCCACAGACGTGCTCCTCTGAAGGTAATCTTCAAACACCTGAAAATCAAGAAACCATTGGTATTACAAAAGGAAAATCTTCAGCAACTCGTTTTAAAAGCCCTGACTGATTCTTGTGTATACCTAAAAACTGTGGTGCACAAAGTGCTGTATGTATGTGAACCCAGTACACCCCTGACAATTGGCCGTGGTTTTGGCAATATCCAAAAGTACTGGCAAATTATGGCGATACTTTTCTGTATCGCCGTTCTGAAGGCAATACTTTTCCGTAAGGCCGTTGTATCGCCAAAAAAATGTACTTTAGTATCGCCGTTGCATTTGCAGTGTAAAGGCGGGTATCCTCCTTCGTCACTTCGCTCACCTGCTAAATAATCTCCGCATATGCAATTCGTTGGTGGCAAATCATCTAAGATGGTGGTTGGGAGGTATAGCCACAGGACTCAGGAGGAGATCTGCAGCATTCTGGAAGCCAAAAAAGAAAAAGAAAAGTTTTAGCACCACGCCATCTTGGCATCACGCACACATTTCAATGAAAGCGTCTTACAGGCTCCAGCATCACGCCCTGGTCCGTCATCACCCGCACTGGGACCTTCGCCGCCGCCAGCTCGTCAAACACAGTGGGATGACGGGAGGCCATCGCCTTTGCATTTCGCCATGATATGGCGAGCTGCAGACAAAAAGAAAATCAGCGCTTTTGTGTAAGGCTAATCGGGAGCGACGAGACCCTGACGGAATAGCATTGCTGAATAACACTTACGTGTCCCCTAGTCCTTGCCAGATATACTAAATGCAATCTGTGGGTTTTGGCCCTGGCATCTTCCCGAGACACCCCGTCGTTGTGGACATGGTGAAAATGCGCTGGAAATTGGCGCTCATCCCACCCCGGCAGAGGGCAGAGCGGACAAGTGGCAACTCGCTTCTTTGTTTGCGCGAGGTTGTGAGAGCTCTTGTAATTCAATGCCACCAGCCGCTCATGCGAGAAGGCGGTGTGCTCATTCTCGCCGAACTGCACCATCGGTGCCCTCTGAACGCACCCAGTCCACGCACCGGCCAGCAGCAGCAGCGCAACCACTGGCGCGGGCATTCCCAAGAGCACGTCCCTGCAGGCAAATATAACGTTAGGCCTGTACTCCAGCCATCAAATGTCGTTCTCACGGCAGGCCAGCCCGCCACTCAGCTGGGTCTGAGCCAGCGGTTCTAATCTGCAAGGCGTCACCCCCGCCAAATCCACGCGTCCCCCGATTCACCCACCTCGTCGAGTTGGGTGTAGTTCTCCCCGATCGGGTGCACCCGACCCGAAGCCGTTTCCGAACGGCACACCCGAGCGTCCCCGGGGGCACCCGAAGAGTTTTCGAACGGCCTCGGGGGAGCCGGCCGGGTGCACCCGGGGAGATCTCCCTTGCAAGCTTGGTGACTATATTATCATTCCAGTCACCAAGTTTTTCAGCCAGTGGGTTCACCCCAGTGACGAGGATACACTAAAAGCTGTGGAAACATCTTCTTCAATTAGACTCATGGTGAATCGTTCCTGAACGCCAATGTCCAAGGATCAAAAAGATCTCAACAGTGGGAGAGGCACGATTCACTGTTTAAAAAGGACAATGCAGATCAAGAACAGGCTCGAGTTCTCGAACGCACTCCCGTCACATGGTGGCCGCCGTCCGCACGGCACGCCGTTTGAACGGCCGGCGAAGCCGAGGCGGCTGCCAGGGGCCTCTTGCACGTGATGCACCAGGTCTGGACGACAAGAAAAGGCGCACTTGGTTATGCCGGCTGCACCCCGCAGGCGCTCAAAAGGGTTTACAGGGGACACTTGCAAGCAGATTATTTCTATCAACAATCAGCGTCTATCAACCCTAAAAGGAAAGTTGACTAGCTCAAATATTGCCTCACTGAAAATTGAATGGTCGGACACATGGCCAAACACTGAAAATTCAGTTGAAAGACTTTGCGTCAAAATATGGCGAGACAAAAAGTCTTGCCAAGTTTTAGTCAGACCAGAAAGCCTCGTCATAACTTGGTCGGACAAAAATGTCTCACCACAAAATGGTTACTCTCTACGCCTTTCTATGGCTCGCCCCATGGTCCAGATGGTACAAAATCGACAAACAAAGGGAATGCTTGTTTTTGTGCTGCGCACTTATCACACGGTGGAAATGGAGTCTGGTTTTGCCAGGAGCTTTATTAAATTTCCAGCAGCAGTTGGCGACTTTTTCCAAGCTCCTGGGTTTCTCAAAGTAGCTGGGAGAAGCAGACTCCGTTTTCACCGTGGCAAGCAGAGACTTACTGCTGCCGGCTTTGTCGCGCCCATGCTGTGCTGTTTGAGTTGGGAAGACGCTGCTGCGTTCATCTGCAGCAGGAGGGGCAGGCGTGAGGTTCTGCAGCTGTACCGGCCCTTAAAAGAAATATTTGCTCCGAGATCTGTCCGAGCGGGGTTCCAGCCCGAAAGAGGTCCGTCGGGCTAGTCCGACGAAGCTCCAGAATGTTCTCAAATCGGCAACTTTGCGGATGTGTCCGAGAACCGAAGTGCGGGCCGGTTTCGGACTGTCTGAGTCCATGACAAAGTCTGGCTTTAGTTGACTCCAGTGACATCAGGCATTGCAGCACAGAATTTATGAACCTTTGGGTGCCAATTTCAAGCGAATCGGAGAAGTTTGGACCCGGGTTCAAATCTCAGTGGGGTTTATTTTGAACATTCTTTTCATTCGAGTTCTAGCATTGTTTCAGATGTTTTTGAGGGTGCTGATGAAGAAAATTTCATCAATTTTGCCCCAGATTCAGGTTTAAATACCGTAAGGGTTTAACATAGGTGAAATTCGCACATTTCTCAATGTACGGGACGGGCCAAAGTTGCCGATGTGTATCGCTACTTTTCCTGTTATTTTTTTAAAAGTTTTTTGTGCTTTTACAAAAAAGTGGGCTTGATATTAAGAAATCCTCACTAAAATTTGTCAATTAGTCATCAGAGAATAAAATCAAAGCAAGACGACTCACGTGTTGTGAACAAGGAACGCAGAAAGTTATTTTACGACAAAAAATTTTGTCGATTAAATATGGCAGTGAAGTGAAGGGAGAACCTCACCAGGTATAACACCCCATCAGGTATAATCCCATCAGGTACAATGTTCTACAGGTAAACTTCTCAACAGGTATAATTCTCAACGGGTATAATGAATTGAATTTTCTGTTTCATCAGGTATAATTTGCATCACGTAAAATTTCCATCAGATACAAATCATTTTTTTTCTTAATTTTAAATAGTACAATTAATAAGGGAGTGGTTCATTGGACAACAAGCAACACCAACGGATGAAATTTAATCGAAGATACGGACCACCACAGCAATATCCTCCCTGCATGCTGGGCAGGTGCTACCTGGCGTGTTTTTTAAGTGGTTGGCGCATTCCTC